GCAAGAGAAGTGGAAAAAGTGGTACTGGATTCTTGATCACAAAGAAAATAAGGAAGAGTTTACTACTATTTGAACCAATTAGTGAGAGAATTGTAAACTTAGATTGAAAGGTAGATTTAGGAATGTGACATTGATTTCAGCATATGCACCAACCAAGGAAGGAGATGAAGATGTAAAATTGGGATTTTATCAAGAATTGGAAAGAATATATCATGCATCCCCAAAATATGATGTTAAAATTATTTTAGGAGACCTAAATGCACAAATAGCAACAGAGAGCTTTACACAGACTGTTGCAGGAAAATTCTCAATTCATACTGAGACAAATGAAAACGGAAACCATCTCTGCCAATTCGCTGAAGCGAGTGATATGTTAAAATAAATTTTTCAACAAGGGAACATGGAAAGCCCCCTATGGTGCAGTAACCCAGATAGATCATGTATTGATAGATAGAAGGCATGCATTAATAATTATTAATGTAAAGAGCGCCCGTGGATCTAATTATGACTCAGACCACTTTTTAGTCAAAGTAAAGTTTAGAGAGCAATTAGCATATGTGAAGTCTGAGAGTCGGCATCATAGGAAGAATTTTGGAAAAATTTAAACTTGAAAATATCACTGAGCAATTTAAAGAATCTGTAAGTGAAAAGCTAACAGAAAATTTGAAAGGAATTGGAATTGGTGAAGTCGAAGAGAGATGGCATAAAATTAGAAAAGCTACTGAGGAATCTGCAAATAAAGTGATTGGAGAGAGGAGAGAGCGGATAAGTGAGGAATGGTTCGATGAGGAGTGTGCAGCAGCCCTAAATGTTAGAAATGAACATAGATTAGCAGTACTCCAATGCTCCACCAGACAAAGCTATACTGCCTATAATGAAAGCAGAATAAAGGCCAAAAAGATTATTAGAAAGAAAAAAAGGTAATTCTTAGCAAAGAAGATTGAACAGATAGAGGAACTGAGGGTGAATAATGAAACGAGGAAATTCTATGGGACCATCAGATATATGAATCATGGATTCCAACCTAAGTTCGATGCATGTAAAAATATAAGAAAAAAACATGGTAATTGACAGATGGGAGGAACATTTCAATGATTTTCTGAATGTAAGAAGCACAGACCCTGACGAGACACCGGAGCTAGAAAACTATTCTGATTTAGAACCGCTTTTAATTGACGAAGTAGTAGAATCAATTAACAAATTAAAAAATGATAAAGTTCCTGGAGAAGACCATCTGATTAAGGAATTGTTTAAAAAAAGGGAAGAGGAGCTAAATAATCGATTATACTAATTGCTAATTGAGGATATATGGGACAAAGAATGCATACAAGCAGAGTGGAAAACATGTTTAATCTACCCTATACATAAAAAGGGAGACAGGCAGCTCTGCGAAAATTACAGAGGAATATCGCTCTTAGGAGTAGCGTACAAAATATTCTTTAACATATTGGTTCAGAGATTAAATGAGTTTGCAGAGAATGTTCTACAGGAATACCAATGCGGATTTTGCAGGGGCAGGGGAACGACGGATCAGATCTTTGTAATGAGACAGTTAATGGAAAAGTGGAGAGAGTATAAAACTGACCTTCACATCTGTTTATAGACTACCACCATGCTTTCGATAGTGCGAACAGAAATAACATGATACGTGCTCTAGGAGATTCCAACATTCCAAATAAACTAATTCGCTTGATACAAATATCTAAGGATGGCAGTAATGTTGAAGTGTGTATTAATAGTATACTTAGTCACGGTTTTGCAGTTACTACTGCAGTTAGGCATGGAGATGCGCTATCTGCTACACTATTTAACCTTGCACAACATAGTGTGATTGTGAAGCTAAACTCCAATGGGGATATACTGTGTTTATTCCCTCAAATATGTGCATACGCTGATGATATTTGCTTAGTGGCAAGGAATAAGCGATTTCTTATTGATTTGTTGAAGCTGTTGAAGGCGGAAGGTGAAGTGCTTGGTTTACAAGTCAATGAAAGCAAAACCAAGTACATGTTTGTAAGTTCAGGCAGTGATTCAAGAGCTAGAGAAGATCTGCGCATTGAAGGTTTTTCTTTTGAAAATTTTAAATCTTTCTCCTATCTTGGTATAGAGCTTTTTGCACAAATGAAATATCAGCAGAAGTGAATAGACGGATTATGGCAGGTAACCGGGCTTATTACGCAAACATAAAACTCTTCCGCTCATCGCTGTTATCACGAACGACAAAAATAAGACTGTATAAAACATTGGTAAGACCAGCAGTGACATATTCTGCGGAAACTTGGACCCTTTGCACCCCCACAATTAATGCGTTGGAGGTTTTAGAGAGGAAAATTCTCCGTAAAATTTATGGACCTGTATTGAAAGAGGGTAAATGGAGAATCTGGAAGATTAGCCAACTATATGAGTTATATGGATCTTGTGACATTTTCCGCTTCATACGAGCAAGGAGAATTGAATGGTTGGGTCACGTAACACTGATGAATGAAGTGAGAATGCGAAAAAGAATTCTGCTTGGGAAAGATGTCTGGCACCAGAAGGAGAGGACAACCTCAGAAATGTTGGATTCAGGATGTGGAAAGGGACCTGAAAAATCTTGGTATAAGGAACTGGAGGAGGAGAGCGTTGTGCAGAGAGGACTGGTGCAATGTTGTCAGGGAAGCCAAGGCCCAACCCATATTATTACTTACATAGAGCTACATAAGTAAATAATAATATTAATAAAAATAATTATAAATCAAAAGTAAAAGAGATGTAATTTTTTAAAATAAGAGACAATAAAGAAAAAAGGCAAACATAATATTTTAATATACAGAATAAAGGGAAAACAAATAAATTTGTGTTAAAATTTTAGAATCTGTAGCTCTAGAATCAGTACATAGATTTTTTTTTTCATGTAACTAATTATAATAGTGATAATAGCTTCACATCAGTAAAATCCAATTCAGAAATAAAGGATACAGGTTTTAGTGGATAAACTGCACAGATGAAAAGCCTTCTTTATCATAGTAATGTTGCAATATTAATAGTAAATCATGAAGAGATTTTTAACCTAGTTTTTAAAACAGATGTTTAATTGGCACTAGATCTCCAATAAAGACAACATAGTTTAAAAATACCTAAATATTAATATTTAAATTAATAAAAAAAATGTATTAATATCAAGATAATTATTAATTAATATTTTGTATATATTTTTTTTAATTTTTAGAACTTCATTTATATTTGCAATAATAAAAAAACAAAATTTGATCCTCAGTCCTACTTTATTTTTCTGTCTTTACTCTCAACATTTCAGCCTGTAGATTTTATTTTTCTATTAAATTAATAATTTTAGTTTTGAGTATTTACTTTAACTGTTTTCAATGTTTCAAGGATTTATATTCTCATCTTTAAAATAATACATTTTAATGTTTTATTATTTTTTTACTAATCCCAAAACCACCTCAAAGCACCCCCCTCCCCCACACCCACCATTAACACACAGCGTGCTTTGCCTTCATCTAAAATAACATACAAGTAACATTGTATTGACTGCATTATTTCATATGATTGTAAAATGTTAAGGCATATAAACACAATGCAATTTAATAGAAAAACGAAATAAATATTTATGGAAGAGAATAGTTCATAAATAGCTTCAGTAAGATTATTATTTAAGAAATTTACTCGTTTTATACAGAATTCTTCCATAAAAATAAAGATAGACATTCCTAAGAAAATAATAATAATAAGAAAAACAATTCCTAACAGCTAGACATAATATTTTTATTAAATTTTGAAATAATAAAATGGTTATATGGTAATGACATTACATTGCTTCTAATTATATTTTTACAAAATAACTGTTTTATAGTTTTAATTTTAAATTGAATATATATTTATTCAAAGGTAATTTTATTTTACAGGTTGTAGTAAATTTTGTGTTTAATTTTATTCTTTTTAATAACTAGAGGGGTACCCCCTGTCTGCCTAACACTAGACTATCCCCTATTTTACTAATTATACAACAGTCCATTTATTTGTATTTCTCATTGCTCAAATTGTTTAACTGTAATTTACATGTATTCCGTAGTTCAGATTGTATTTATCAACATAAAATAAACGGAATGAACACAGTGTGGGGAAGCACCTGAGAATGAATCCCGTATCATGGCAACACTGCCTAAAGGGGAAGACTGCACGGAGTCAACATAGATGATAGACTGAATATTTGTTTGTAAAAAGGGTACATTTTTTTTTTGCAAATGGTTTATTATATTCTTTGATTAATGCATTAAATTTGCTGTAAATATAAATTATTATTTCTCGTGGTGTACTGAGTCAAAACGATTATTTTATCTTGACACCCCCTTACACTTAGTCCTGACAAATTTTTAATTTCCTTAAAAATCTATATTATCCATTGCGCCTTATTGCCAACTTGTAACCATAATAAGGGAGAAATAATTCTGGGAATAAGAAGTGTGGTGTCTCTGTCTCACTTTTTTATGTAAAATAAATTATCGGTCACTAAAAACTTTTTTATATAATAGAGTGATAATTGTATGCAATGTTTTTTTTTCAGTATAAAACAAATCTTTTATAAGAAACATATAAAAAAATGTCAGAAGTATCAGTTATGTACATTGTATCATTTATTTTTTATGTAGAGTTCAATTGAACAAGAAGAATTAATCCAAACCAAACTTGCATACTAACATCAAAACTAAATCAGATAAAAATTTCACGAATGACCACTATTCTACCCTCTACTCAGGCAAATAAGAATTAACTTCATATATATATTTTTTTAAAATTAATATTTTAAATGACTTTTTAAATATTGTTTTCTACACAAAACTAAAAAAAAAAATTAAATCTGTAATTTAACAAATCATTTACTGTTTCATAAAACTTCTCACAATGATAGCAAGCAAACATAAAATTATTTATCAATCTCATAAATAATTAATGATTTAAATGATGATAAAAAAGATAATGATACTAAAAAGAAACTTTACCTTTGATTGGATTTTTATCATAAAAAGTACAACTTGGCAGCGGGGTATCAGGATTGATTTGAAGAAATGCAAGATCCAGAATATCATCTTTAGAAGAACAACATAAAATCTTAGCATTGTAAGATTCTCCACCAAAGGTGACTTCAACAGGTGTGTTATTTCCCTATAAATAAAAAAGGCACTTATACTCATTAATTAATTACATATTATCTTAAACATTTAGCACATAACATAAACAGATAGAGATAAAAATGGAAAGGAAAGAGATTTGTTATGAATAATAAAGAAAAATATTAATAATTAATGGGGTGCCATAAACTTAAAAGTACAAAAAAAAAAAAAAAAAAAAAAAAAAAAAAAAAAAAAATCCTGTCCTGCTTTACAGGTAATATGAATAGCGGAATATTAATTAGTATTAAATATTACAGAGCCAACTAAAATAAAAAATTTGCTTTATTCTTAAGTGAAACCTTAAAACAAATAAACCACATGTAGACTGCAAATCCTGACTATTTAACATCCTCGTAAAACAAATACATTAAGAAATAAATCTGGTGGGGTGCAGGCACAACTTTCGCTTACCACTTTTATTTTAGCAGAAATAGGTATTTTCATATACAGAGAAGTGAAAATGGTACAAATTATTATTTAAAACAATTAATTACTGTATGTTTTTTACATCCATCTAACATACTATGTTTATGTTTTTTGTCACTAATCACTTCCTTTTACGAATGTATATTTTGATTATTTATTTCATTTTAATAAACATATACAAATTTTAATTTTTATATTACTATAATCTATACAATTAAATATTAAATGATATCAAAGCTAGCATTTATGAAAACCACACATGTATATGTATAGAATATTGTCCCAACTGTTACGCATGGAAGCCTATTCGAACCTTTCAGCTAAGCTCGGGTGTGTTCGGTTCCCAATAATGATCCCTTACTTCTCCTTTAGTTAATTATCAAATTCTTATATATTTTATATTTAACCATTTTTAGAGGAGGTTACAATGTGAAATGATTTATTACTTCCAATAAATTAAAGATAATTTAGAGGAATAAAATTTGAAAATTAGGTATTTAAGCCACATTAGAGAACATCAATCAGAATAAGACCTGCGTTATACTAAAAACCACTTAATTTTACACTGAAATAATGAGTTAGAAATGAATCGTTAGAGCTGTTTTCAAGAAAATTGTAAAAATGTGTAAAATCGATAATATAAAGTGGCACTTCCAGTTAGCTGACTATGATGAAAAAGTTGTAGAAACATCCCAGGCATATATAAACTTTAAATATGGAATTTCTGTTTCATACGACTTTTCGTTTATATGACTGTTCACACACACATAGACCGTTTTAGGAGACTTGGTTATTTGAACTCAGGGGACCTCAAAATTTGTATTTGCATTGAAAACTCGGATTCAAAATTTTTCAAGATAGCAATACTTTCCCTTACTATATGTTTCATATATAAGTAACCAAAAGTAAAAAAATAAATAAATGGGTATCAGTATATATAAAAGATTATTTTTGAGAATGAAAAATGAAGCTTACATAATTTATAACATGACTGCATGTCACTAGTAATCCATTTCCATCTAATGAAATGCAACTTCCTTTCAATGATGGTGTTTTTACAGGTAAAACACTATCTGATACACCTAAAAAATGATTACATTACTTTAAAATATCATGAGAAGGAGTTGGTTGGGGGATGCGATCAAATAAATACTAAATTTTTAAAATAGTTTTTTAAACATTTAGTAATTAAATAATTACTAAATAATTGCCGTACCTCCCCAACCAACTCTTTTTCATATTACATCACAGTTAACCATCTAAACACCATAAGAATATCATGGTTACATTTATAAATAAATAGTTTTGCTTAGAGAACTTTGAAGAGTGTTTAAATAAGATTAGAAGTTACAAGTATCTATCTATTTATATTTCGCACTCCAAATCGCCTTGCATAGACCTTGTCACCACATAGGTATTTAGTAAATGGTCAGATAGTAGGTCTAACTATGATAAATATAGCATGTTTAGACCTAGCCATGACGACTTTCTAACCGATAACACTGCCCTACAACAAATTTTTGTTTGCGTGTATCTTCAATGAAAACTGTTTCTCTTGACTAATTTTGGTGTGAGAAACTAGAATTTTGTGTTAAAATCCTTACATTAACTACTGTTCTGCAGATACGAATACCCAGTATCGAATACAAACAATTAAGTTTTAGGCTTTAAAAGTGCTTTATTATTTGTGAAATACTTTTACAACCCACAAAACATTAAATTACAACTTCTCTCGGCAAGAACAGAGCTACTGTACAGTTTATTTAGAACGATCGTACTGTCGTTCTGGCGAATTTCTCACAATGTTCCAACAGTAGTAGTCATACATTGAAGTATCACACTGACCTTTGATATCTTTGTTCCATCGAGGATATATCTTGGTGAAATTGCACACCATGTTTGTCACTTACAGATCCACAATTTTCGGGAAAGAAGTCCAAATGAGAGTGAAGAAAGTGAATCATGAGTGAATTGTAACAACCGAGATCTCTGTACTTCTCAAGGAGGGTTTGGACTAAGACAACATAATTGTCCTCTCTTTTATTACCCAAGAAAACATTAACTAAAGCTGTAAATGTTTCTCAAGCTGCTCTTTCTTTAACCTGAAGAATATTAAAAAATTCCCCGTCATTAAGCTCACAGATTTGTGAACCAACAAATACAACGCATCATTTAAGCAAAGAAATTTTCCTCTCAAGTACTTGAATGCATCTCCTGATTGGTCCATTCCTTAGACACAATTTTTCATGAGACCTGACTTTAAATGTAGTGGAGACAAAATGATTTTTTCAGAGCCCACAAGGGGGTTGTAGATAACATTTTTTTGTCCAAGGGTCAGGACTTCTCTTTGAGGCAATTCTTTCCTGATGTAATGAGATGCTCTGTCCGGACTGACCCTCACATAAGAAATAACAGTACTTTGTATATCCCTGTTGCATTCCTAGAAGAATTGCCACCACTTTCAGGTCCCCACAGATTTACTATTGGTAGTCCTGGTATTTGATAGATTTTAGAAGGATTTCCATGTTTTGGTAAGTTTCCATCATGTGGACAGCATGGACAATAGAGATAGATGGAAGTAAATTGCCATTGTGCAAGAGAACTGCCTTGAGGGATAGCTTTGATGAATCTATGAATAGCCTCCATTCAGAAGGGTTGTGATTGAGATTTAATGCTGTCATCAGACCTGGGACATCACAACAGGCAAAAAGGTTCTCATACTTTTTGAAAAAGGTGATCAAGTCTTTCTGACAATTTCTGTAGATTGTAATCTTTACACCAGGTTGTAAGAAGTTCCATTGCTTCAATCTTGAACCCAAAAGTTCTGCTTCCCCTTTGAGCAGATCCAGGTTCCCTGTTTCTTTGCATCATTCAAGAGGTTCAGTTGCATCATCCAATAAACACTGTATCAAGTCACTGAGTTCAGCTTGAATAAGCAAGTGGGGTTTTTGTTATTCAATCATTTGATGGGGTTCCTCCTAGGAGATTTTCCTCATTGTTATCCTCATCCTCATTCAAGTCATAGTGTTCAGGAGGCCTTGGAACAGGCAATTCGTCCCTGTGTGGTATTGGCGGTATAGCAGAAGGAATGTCAGGGTACTTCACTTCAGATTTCTTTTTTCGAGACATTACATGATGAAGAGGAGGGGTCATGCAAAAGTAGCAGTTGTCAGTGTGATTAATAGGTTCCCTCCACACCATGGGAACAGCATAATGCATTGAACAACCTTTTTTGTTCAACCATTCTCTTAAGGTTACGCTACATGTGATGCAGCAGATGTACGGAGCAGACAGTTTATCTTGGTCACCAACCTTCATCCCAAAATACTCGTGGTATGCTGTCTTCATCATCTGGGTGATAAGACGTTTTTGACTTGCAAAGGATACTTTCCCAAAAATGTAACAAAAGTTGTCAGGAGCATTCACACACTTACGAGCATTGTAACTTCACCAAAACTACTGGGTTGTCACAACAAAATCGTTGAAAGAATGCCGGAAGCAAGAAAAATCACCTCAAGAGTAACTTGAAATGTAAACACTGCATACAACTGGCAGCAAAATGGTTCTGTGATTCACGGCTAGCCATTTGATTCACAGACAAAAATCAATCTTACCAATCCAGGAACAGGGAATTTCCTCATATTACCCAAAAAGTAACTATTTTTTTGAAACTAGAGCCAACTGATGATTTTTATGTGGAAATTCGAATGTATCACATCAAAAAAACATGGAATGAGGCTGTTTTCAAGTGAAATACAATATCAATGAAGAGCAGGGTAATGAGTGACTCTTGGGCTTGCTGGAGGTTAGAATACGTAACTCACATATTTACTATTAAAAAAAATGTACATAAACAATGTCCTGTAAGGAATGGAAAATATTTAAAAAGGTGATAATAGACCTCAAAAAATATAAATAGGAAGTGATAACTTAAAAAATATTTTATTTCAGTAATAATGTTCCTTAGAGAAACGTTAACTTTTAAAAAGAAAAGTTCTAAGGGACTTCTCTTTTAAGAACTGTTTTTCCTAAAAAGTTTCACAGAAACTGTTAAAATTGACCTTTTTAAAAAAAGTTTCAATCTCTGGTCAAAACTATTATTGGAATGCAGGGGATCTGATGTAAATAATCTTTTGATTTTTCAAACAAAAGAATTTAACAACTTTTAAAAATGTGTATTGATCAAGTAGACAATTTTTTTTTGTGAAAAAGACAGAATTATCATACAACAACCATTGGGACAAATGTCGTGGAGCTAAAACAAAATAACTTATTTTTTAAACATTAGTTAATTAATATTTTTTAAAACTCATTTATATCCCAAAAACAACATAAAAATTAAAAAAAAAAACTTGGTTACATCAACAATTCATAGTTATAGTTATTTTGTAACATCTCGGGCCTTTTTCAAACATTTATTACACATGTTATATACCACCAGTCTAAACATTACCTGTAAAAATTATATGTCAATATCACCTTATAGTTACCAATTTAATGGTGAAAAAATAAAGATTTTTTTTCTAAACACATTTAGAATATACAGGGTGCCCCATAAGTAGAGAGAAATTTTCTAATTTTCAACTGAAAAGTAGGAAATCCAAGTTATTTTTTTAAGTAAGTCGTGTTTTTGCCTATGCAGTGTGAGGAGGAATTCTATAGAGCTTTCTCCAGCAGTGCCGGTCTTCCATCAAATGCCTTCTCTCATTTCATTGGTGTTCTCTTTTCAGGAAATCCTTCTTTACTTTGTCTTCCCATTTATTTCTTGGTCAACCTCTTCCTCTCTTCCTGCCAATCTTGGCTTGATAGACCTCCCTAGTAATTCTGGTAAGTTCTATTCTTAGGAGAAGTCCCAGCCATCTTAGTCTATTCTCTTCTATAACTTCATGGGCTGGTTTAATGTTGAGGTTCGCCCTAATTGTAGTGTTGCAGATTCTGTATCTTCTTGTTTTACACTAAATTTTTCTGAGAAATCTCATTTCTAACTCTTGTATTCTTGAATGATGCTTTATTGTTAGTGTCCATGATTCCGAGGAATATGTCAGAATGGGGAGACACGTTGACCTAAACACAGCCACTTTTGTCTTCTTGTCGACCTCTTGTGTGTCCAGGAAGCCTCTCTTGACTGCTTCAAACATTCTGCCAGCACTTGCCATTCTCTCAGTAACCTCCGTATCAATAAAACCATTTTCATTGAAGTCCACGCCTAGGTATTTGAAATTTTCTACTTGTTCGAGTACATGGCGCACAATAGATCCATAAGGGTCACAGCGCTGTAAGGAAAAAAAAAAAAAAAAAAAAAACCTAATTATTCGTGGCTTCTTCCCTATACTCATTACTTTTGTCTTTGTAGGGTTTATGACAATGTCGGTCTGAAGATTCCTGTTGTCTTCGGTGAAAATAACAATGTCATCAGCGAATGAAAGAAGTGAGAGTTTCACAGGTCTTAGATTGGCATATCCTAGGTGGAATTTCCTTATATTCTCCTTGGTCCTCCGAGTAGCTGCATTCATAACTAAACTGCACAGTAGTGGACTGAACTTGCCGATTTCCTATCATGGTTTCGATTTATTGAGATGTACAGTATCCATGTTTTCAGCAAAAATGACCACAATTGTTACAAAGCTTTTATTTCTTGTTTTTCAGTGACCTGGGATGCAATATAATAAACATAATTGCCTAAATGCACCTTTTATTTAACATTTTTTTCAAATAATTTTCATGTAAAAAAATGTAAAAATAAAAGGTGCAATTATGTTTATTATAATTAGAGACCTGATTTTCATGTTATTTCACATTTTGTTCGCTTAGGTATAAAAATTTTAAACCCGACAATCTATCCGTTTCACGATCTGCAGAACAATATATAGAAATTTCATTTTACACAAAGTTGCATGTTTTGGCCTTTTTGGGCTATATTGCAAGTTTTTGGTTTTTGTTGCAAAGTAATGCAAATTTTACAATTAAAGGGCTAAATTTCAATTTTAACAGTATAAAGTATACAGTAAAAGACTTGAACCAGATTTTCTTTATGATGTGTACAAAAGGTATGTATGTAAATATTTATTGGATGGATTCATAA